ACGGGGCGAGGTCGTGGAGCCGAGGTTCGTGCGTCGGTTGCGGGGAGGAAACATGCAGCTTGGGGCGCGGAATTGACCGAGGCGAGGAAGGCCTCCAAGACCGACGGCTGGGACAACGGCGCGGGTACGACGGCGAACGATGCTGGCCGGCGACGGCGACGACGGAGGAAGGCCAATTCCAAATCGCGAGGAGCGAGGGCAGGTGCGGAGGAATGCTTCGCGAGAGGAGCGAGGGCTTGCGGGGGGCGACAACTTTGATTGGAGAGGAGATTAGGTTTCCTTTAACGTCGCTGCGGGCCGCGACGCCTTCCTTCGACGTCACTGCGGGCCATGATTCCTTCGGCGTCGCTCCTTGTCATATCGCAAGGGAGGGGAGGGGAGGGCGACCCCACAGCCGCGACGTACGCGCCTTCCTTCGGTGTCGCTGCGGGTCGGTATCGCAAGTGAAGGGAGGGAAGGGCGACCCCGAAAAAAGTCACAGAAAAAAATTGTCTTACTTTCGTTATTTTTAGTTGTACGAAATAAACTACATATAATCGACAAATTAAATGATATATTATCACCCGGCCAATTAATTTGTGAGCTCATAATTTTTGGGTACAAGGAAATTTGCAGTGTAGCATTTTTTTTTTGTTTTAACTGATTGCTGAGGGGGCATCGGATCAACAGTCGCGTCTCTGAAAGCTTCATTGGGATCTCGCTCTCGCTCTCATGAGTAAACAGTTCAACTGCATACATGGACATGAGACCTTCTTTTCTTGTAGAAGCTTGCTTGCTGCTTGATGCCGAGATTATTAAAGCTTGAGGGCGATGCGCGATTAGATAAAATTAGAGGTAGAACATGAGTTTTGGAAAGTGTTTATTTAGGCCAGCAGCAGGAATAAGATACCGGCTTTCATTGATAAATTAACAGGTAGGCGCACGCAACCGACGACGTTTCAAGCAGGGGGCCACACTGGTACTGTAGGCTGAAAGGTGGCTGACAGTGGTGAATCGAGCTACTAGGTAGGTAGCTAGGGCCAGCCGCTGCATCTAGGCCGGTACCGGTGCCGGTGCCGGTGCCGGTGCTTGCTCATTGGACCCAATATAATCGTGCGAACTGTCATATGTCATATTAACGTCCTGTTTCGATAGTTTTGAATTCTTAAAAACTAATTTTTGTCTCTAATTTTTAAAATCTGGATTCTAAGCAAAAACCAGTGGGGTGTTTGGATCCCCCAGTTTTGAAGAATCTGGCTTCATTTATTGCTCTATGGGTCATAAGAAACTAGTAAAAGCTAGGTATCAACAGCTTCCTGATTTTTAAAAATCTAGCAAAAACTGGCTTGTTTGACGACATAGTTTCCAAAAGCCAAATTCTTAAAACCCGACAAAAAACTAGAGGGATCCAAACAGAGACTAAAGTTAGAAGTCATAATAATACTCTTTGCACTTACGTGTGGCAGCAGGGGTGAAAACGGTACGAATATTTTCCGGCCGTATTCGAGGCCGAATTCGTTTAGAGGGGTTCAAATCTGTCCGTATCCGAGTCCGAATATCCAACATCCGATACCGTATCCGTATATGAATATTTAAATCGCATATTTATGATGTCGATATCCAATCGTATCCTATCCGGGATGGTTGACACTATCCGTATTCGAATCTGAATCCGGACAGAAATATGAAAACAAATGTAATATCAGTGATTTTCATCCCTATGTGGCTGGCATGTTTAAATTTCTCCTTGATGAGTGCTCTGGTTGGCATGCATCAAGTACGTGTAGCTAGCCATCTTAGAGTGTGTTTGCTTCCGAAACCAAATGGAATATAGGACGGTTCTATTCCTATTTTTAGTGATGGAATGGTTCCGGCCATTGTTTGGTTCAGAGGATGGACTCATCCCTATTTTTTTGTTTGATCGGAGTGATGGTGGAAGAGGATGGACGGAGTTCTAATTGTCGTCAGCTACAGTCTCGTGGGGCTCGCTTGTCATCCTCTGTTGCACCTCTTCTTCTTCCTCGCGTCTGCAATGTCTACTTGTCTCTCTGCCATAGCGACGCCTCCTCATCGTGCCACCATTCGCACCTGATGAAATCATCTATCTGGCAAAGGCACATCTGTTGCTCACCCCTCCGCGACGGAGCCATGCCCCGCACCGACGTTCGCCCTTCGACGCCGAAGCCGCGCCCCCATGCTAGCGGTCGCCCTTCTGCGTTGGAGCCGCACCCCACGCCATCGCTTGCGCCTCTGCCCTTCACCCTCCCTGTTCCACAGTGCCTCATCATGTAAACGGACAGACGAGGAGGACATCCCTAGTGTACTATAAGCTATGATGTTACAACGGACACTGATCAAGCCCAGATGCAGCACCGGCTAGGATGGCGAGAGAATTTTTTATAGCATTTCTTCTTTGGTTTTGTTTTTGGGCCTAGATGCTTTGTATCATTTGTAAATATTGTAACCTCCTGTTTGTACATTTCCTTAAAGGAAAAAAGCAAAAAAATAGGTAGGGGCTCCCCTACTGACTTTTTCAAAAAAGAAAAAAAATTATAGCTAACTGACGTTATCTAATTTTCAGGAACGTGCAACACATCTGTACATCATTATATTAACATCCACCTGCTGCCCATAATTACTGAAAAAGAAAGGGGAGTTTGTGTACCATGCATGGCCTGGGTAGTTTATAGGCTTCCAACCCTTGAATGATTGTCCATGTTTTGAATCCAGTCGCAGTGACGACGATAAATAATCTGGAACGAAATTAACAGTCGTTGAGGTTCATCAACGGGAGTTAACTAGGAATAATGTGTCGCAATTTGCTTCCATAATAACAGCAGCAAGGTGATGTGGAATCAATCTGCCCAGTAGTCACGGCTGCATTATTGGAGACTCCTAGGAGTGGCCATGCATGCTTGTTAATTACTGGATGCGACCGATGTACTTATATGATGTGGCACCTTTCTTTCCTTTTTATTTGTCCTTTGAAAAAAAAAAAGAAAAAAGAAGAGACCCGGTAGCTAGGTCTAGCTGCACGATGGATGGAAATGATGCATGATTAATTGCATCTGATGTATCCCGGCAACCTAAACCGAACATGAGTTCACGTCCTATGACGGCCTAGCTGCACCACTGTCCACTGGCCAGGCCACCACACCACAGCCAGGGCTGCACCTGCACTGCACGGCAGCAATTTCCCCCAGGACACAAGGTGGTGGATGAGTACCGGCCGGCACAGGCAGGCGCGCTCGCAACCGCCGCCGGACGAGGACGATGCGTACGTACGTGGATCGGATAATTAAAGAAAGATAGGCGCGTGCGGTTGCGGCGGTGCTTTCGCCGCGCCCGTCCGCGACGACGACGGATCCCGTAGCTGTAGCGCGCACGCATGCGTGCTCTGCTCGATCGGTCGGCCGGGCAGCGCGCCTCTCCGCCTGCCCAGGCGGAGGCGGCAGCAAGCTAGTCGCACGTCGAGGACCGATCAAGAGGACGACTAGCGCGAGCGACACGCGCGCGCGTACGGCCCCGCGCGCCGACGCGCAGGGGCGTGTGGCCGGGCCGGGCGTCTCAACCGTTGGCCCACTGTGCGCGTGCATGCATCATCATATCATCCATCTCACCGGAGAGATATCCGGCTGTCGTGGACGACACACAGCTCGTTCGTTCCTTCACCGGTTGCTGTCGTCGTATATCTCTCTGTCACGTATAGTACTACGTGTACAGTATACATATACAAATACATCTCCGTTTGTTAAAGCGTGCTGGCCGGAGCATGCACATTATTTGGTCGCCGCCGGCTCGCTAGCATATAGCTTATAGCTAGTATGCTCCAGCGTCTACATCAAAACTCGATAGACTATTGATCGATGGAGATCAGTGGAGTACGACCGATCCTACACAGGCTACTACAGCTAGCATCACTTGTCGATTGGGCGGGTGGCGTAGTACGTCGTCACCATCATATCATCCATGCTTGATTAAATTTATCTATTTATATTATTCGGTCAACACGTACGGGTAAGATATACTACTACTAGTATCAAGGGTGGGTTTCCGTTGAGGAATCAGGCAAAACATGCACATAGGGGTAGTACTAATTAACCAACTGATGATGATCTGACCAGCATCAGCAGCCACCGGCCAGCCAGCAGCCTCCAGTAGGCGAACCGACTGGCATGCAACGCTGCCGTGTCGTCCTGCCGTGCCATGCCGTGCGCAGGCACGCACGATCAACGCATGCATGCGGTGCACGCGTACGTCGTTGGCTGCTTCTTAATTCATGGTTGAACGAACAACCATGAATTAATAATTCATGTTTCAAATCGTCAAATTTAAGGATGCATATACTCCTATCTGTATGTATGTGTGTACTCTGTTAACTCCATCAGCCCAAGGCCTAAACTGCTCCCTGTTGAAATCTGTGTTTGTCACTATGCAGTTGTACCCAATTGTTCATTAGTTTCCCTGAGTTAGGTTGTTGAAGTAGAATACCACATAGCTCGTAACTCAGTTACTCTCAGCGAGGGACAGGATACCAATGAGTTGCCTCTTGTCAGTGCTTGAAAACTCTATACAATTGATGTTTATGATGTTAATTATCAAGTTCTATCATTCCACTTATTATGGTTCTTTCCCATTGTAGAATTGACTTGAAAATGAGTGCTACATTCTGTTTCTATTATTAAGTTCAGTTGAGAAAGATACTAGCAAAATCATATTAAGTGCAGGTAATATCATGGAATATTTGGATACAACTACTACAGTATATTCGGTGTACAATTAGATCTTTGAAAAACACTGTGCTTTTGAAACATTATGAAATGTTTGCAAAAATATTCTATTGTGAATTGAGTTGTGCGCAAAAAAGTAATAATAAAAGTCTAAGTTGAATATAGTGGCTTTGATTTATTCTCAACTCATCTCTGTTCAGATATATGATGTGCTTGTCATCTGATATACTTTCTTCCTTTTTTTGTGTGTTATAATGGTGGTGATTAGAGAAAAACAGGAGGATTAGTAATATGGAGATCTACGATGAACCGGAAACCACTAAGGGGTCAAAGAAGAATTCACAGTCTCTTGCTATGAAGTCCCCAATTAAAGGGTCTCCTAATGCTTCCTCACTACCAACTGAGAAAGCAAACAGTGTACAAGATAGCAATGGACCTTTAGTTTCTAATGCTGCGAAAGAGGAAATAGTTGTACAAGCACCAGAAATCAAGTATGAAGATGAAATTGACAAACTGTTGGATGAACTTAGCCCAAGATACACTGACTGGCCTGGATCCGACCCGTTACCAGTAGATGCAAATTTACTTCCTGCAACCGTGCCAAGTTACAAGCCCCCTTTCAGAGTTCTGCCATATGGTGCCCGGCCATCTCTTAGCCGAATGGACACTACCAATTTACGCCGTCTTGCCCGGGGACTGCCTCCTCACTTTGCTCTCGGTAACTTCTGTTATGCACTTATGCTTTAGTTAAACTATGAACTTGTCAATCCATTGTACTATCTTATATTAATTTCACCCTTACTAATGGATGTTAGGACGAAGCAGACAACTCCAAGGCTTAGCTAATGCTATGGTAAAGTTGTGGGAGAAAAGTTCTATTGCTAAAGTTGCTTTGAAGAGAGGAGTACAGCTTACCACCAGTGAGAGGATGGCTGAAGATATTAAAGTAAGTAAAGAAAGTGTCTCTTGTTAGATTTGTACAATTTGGGTAGCATATGTAAATATTTGTATCCTAGTTAGAAATGTTAATTGATCACTAGCAACAGCACAATACAGATTCGAAGTCCTTCTAGGTTTTCTTTTGCAACTGTCATTTTCATCCATTTTCTGCAGCTTGAAGTTTGTATCACTACTAGAAAACAGACCTTTCATCCCGCCTCTATTTTTGCCTTTAGTCCCGGTATTTTTGTGTTCGGGACTAAAGGGACTATTAGTCCCGGTTGTATCCTCAAACAAGGATACAAAGTTCCTGCCCCAAGTGTGTGGCGACGGCAGGCAACAATTAGTCCCGGTTATAGCCCAGAGCCGGGACTAAAGGTTATCCTTTAGTCCCGGCTGGACCCTCCAACCGGGAATAAATCTTTACTCCCGGCTTGAGGCTCCAGCCTGGACTATAACCGGGATAAAATCTTTCTTGATAAAATAATATAGTCGCGCTGGACAAAAAAATGGGGCAGCTAGGCATTGAACCCACGACCTCATAGCCAAGGTCCAAACCACAGCGCACTAGCTAGCCATATGAACTAAGTCACTTTCTCGACAAGAAAGCATCCAAATATTTATTTAATAAGAGAAAAGACCCTTTAATTGATTATATTCTTTTGTTAACTATACTTTGAATTTTCTGGTCCATGTGCTTTCTAGTGCCTGATTGATCTCATAATTTTTATCAGGGTTTCAAATGCCCAGTGTGAAGCCACCACCAAGTTCGAGATTTTTCTGAATTGGTTTGGTATTTTTTTCACTTTAATTGAATTTCCACGCGACTTCGCCGATTAATTATACGTTGAACTGAGTCCACCCCCGAAAAGATCCGGAATGGTGCCAAACTTTGCCAAATGGTCTCTTGTGCCCTAGGAGACAAATATTTGTGGAGGTTGATGCAAAATTATATTGTTTTCAATATGTAATTCACCGTATTTCGTCTCACACGGCACAAAGAAAAATGCAATAATAAAAATAATTATCAGAAAAATCTAAGATCTTGTGTGGGACCATATTTTGGATGTAAATGACTGCCAAAAAAATTTCAAGCCATTTCAACATAGGCGGAGTCGACGTGCTTCAAAGAGGTATATAGAACCTTTCGTCGAACCCTATCTATACACCTAGGTTCTCTGGGACTCTGAAGTTCATTTGCTTTCCAGTGCCGGATTGGTCTCAAACTTTTTCTCAAGACTACAAATGCCCTGTGTGTAGCCACCACCAAGTTTGAGATTTTTTGAGGTGGTTTGGTACTTTTTTAACTTTAATAGAATTTCCGCCCGAACTCACCGATTAATTATACAATGATTAATGAAGAACCTAAAGATTTACGTTACAATTATGAGAAAACTAATTTCCTGTCGAAAACCAATAAATTTAATATTTTCAATTAAAGTCTACATTTTTGCATTAACGAAAATAGTGAGTATTAGTTGCATTATGTTCAACATTTATAATAAAAAACACAATAGTTTAGGTCACATTTTTTTGTGTGCAGTAAATGAAAATAAAGTTTATTACTTTTTCTAAAAAAATTATGCCTAGTATTGAATTTACTGTGCAAATAATAAGACCTAAACATTTAAATACAAAACATAAAAAATAAGCTGATCTGCTTAAAATTTGGCGGGAAATGAAAATGTAGCCCACCTTTAGTCCCGGCTCCTGCCACCAGCTGGGACTAAAGGTGGGCTGCATTTGGCGGCCCGCCAATAAATCTTTTAGTCCCGGTTCCTTCCAACAGCCGGGACTAAAGGTCCCCCCTTTAGTCCCGGCTGGTGGCAGGAGCCGGGACTAAAGGTGCTTTAGTCCCAGGCGGTGCATAGAGCTGGGACTAAAGGTCCCTCTCCTATATACCGCCGCCTCCCTTCTCTCTTCCTCCTCATCGATCGTCGTCTTCAGCGCGTCCCAGAGCTCCGCTACCGCCGATTCGCCTCCCCAGCCACCCCCGACGCTGCCTGCTTCCTCACCGAAGGGCACCCCGAGGCTCGCCCACCTCGCCGGAGTAGCCCCGACTCCGCGCCCCTCACCGAGGAGCCCCCAGCCGCCCCCGACGCTGCGCGCGCGCCACACCGCCGCCGATTTCGCCTTCCCGGCCACCCCCGATGCCGCCTTCCTCACAGGAGGGCACCCCGATGCCCGCCCACCTCGCCGGAGTAGCCCCGACGCCACGCCCCTCAAGGAGGAGCCCTTGGCTGCCCCCGACGCCGCGCGCGCCACGCCACCGCCGATTTCGCTTTCCTGGGCCACCGCGCCTTCTTCCTCACCGGAGGGCATCCCGACGCCCACCCACACCTCGCCGGAGTAGCCCCGACAACGCCGCGCCCGGCCAGGAGCCCCCGTGCCTCGATCCAGCGCCGCTGTCCACCACCGCCCGTCGCCAACACTCCATTAATTCTAAACCGCTGGTATATATATATTATATTTATTATATTTATGAATTATATTGACAAAATGTGTATTAATGTATATATGTATGAAATTATATATGTATGAAATGTGTATATATATATATCAATTAATGTATATATGTATGAAATTATGTATGTATGAAATGTGTGTATATATATCAATTAATGTATATATGTATGAAATGAATGTGTGTGTGTGTATATATATATATATCAATTAATGTATACATGTATAATTTTTCCTTAGGAAAAAAAATCAATTGTGTTATATTCTGATACCATGTGGCCTATACCCTAAACCCTAAACCACCCTAAACCACCCTAAACCCTCCCCGGCCACCAACGCTGGCCGGCCGCCCCGCGCAGGCACCACCACCCCAAAATGTGTATGAAATGTCTATGAAACCCTAATTGCATAATTATTGTTTTATAATTGTTTAGGCTCTCTATGGCCGACCCGAGAGACGATGACCTGGAGGCGGAAATGATGGATATTATCAACGCCGGCACTGAACATTGTGCCGATGTTGATAATGACCAGCAGGAAGACGACGGAAGTTAATACTTGAATCTCGATCATATTGTTGAGGAAGTTGTTCATGAAGATAATTCCGGCGAGGTATATATTTCTCAATATCTAGCTCTCATTTATTTATTATGCATACATGTAGCCCACTGGATCGACCTTCATTTTATAATACTTTTTGTGTTTCTATGCGTACATAGCCGTCTGGATCGACGACGACGACGGGGAACACAAAGAATGTTCGAGGGGCCAAAAAGCCGTTGGAAGGCCGCTACATCATCTCATAATTCAACGTGGCTACAGGCGAACCACTAGGACAATATGCACAGAAATTCATGTACCAATGTGGGTACCTTGTAAGGGACAAGCTCCCGATCAATGCCCGTGAATGGAAAAAAATAACAATGCTCCTCATATTAGTTATGTCTCTGATAAGGACAAGGAGCTGATTTGGCAAGATGTTCTTGCATATTTCACGCTCCAAACAGATGATTATCATGAAGACATCACCCACGAAAGGTTGATGGAGCGAGTTAGGCACTAGACAATGAAGAAGATGAACACCCAATTCCAATCTTGGAAGAAGCAGCTGTACAAATCATACGTCAAGAAGAACAAGACTCCAAATTGGAACGATAAGGGCCCAATCGTGAAGGCAAGGCCCTACTAGGAGGAATTTGTACAGTACAAGACATCAGAAGCGGGTGCGGAACGGGCGAGAAGGAACCAAGAGAATTCCAGACAAAAGCAATACCACCATAACATGCGATCAGGTGGCTACGCGACTTCCATTCCCAAGTGGCAAAAAATGGAAGTAGACCTTATTGCCAAGGGGATCGTACCTGAATCAGCACCGTGGCCTGAACGCACAAAGCGTTGGTTTTTAGGTCATGGGGGAGGTTTGGACCCAGTCACCGAGAAGCTCGTCCATGGCACAAAACTCAAAAGAGCAACAGAAAGGTTGATTCAAATTCTAAAAGCTAGAGATAGTGGACTATTCCGGCCCAACAGAGAGAAAGATGAACTGACATATTCCATCGGGACTGCTGAGCATTATGGGCGAACTAGAGGCAAAGGGGCTGTTCTATGGGTGCAAGGTTTCCCTGAATGGATCGATTCGTACAGAAGCCGTCAGAGACGGAAGGATGAGGAGGCAGAGAGGATCCGCATCTTGCAGCAATATGTTATTGAGTCACGGGAAGCGGTGCTTGAATCACAAAGGCGAGAAAAAGAAATGCAAGCGAAAATGCAAGAGGAAGTCGCAAGGCAAGTGCAAATACAATTGAGTGCCCACGGGATTACAACAGCTCCGGGAATCAACATTAGCTCCGATCAGTTGAGAAGCAGTTGTGCTTCTACGGAGCTGCCTGATGCCATAAAAGATGCAGAGCTGCGCTTCCCCGTGGATGACGTCACTGAACCTTTTACATCATGTGAGCTGCACATTCCAAAAGATAATGGCACAGTGAAGGTGGCTATTGGTGTTGTAAAACCTATCGACCGTACCAAGACACCAAGAATCCATGGGGCAGTAGTACCAGCTAGATATGCTACCGTCTCGATGGATAAAGCTATTGAAGGTTTTAGCGATGTGCCTCTTGACATTCATGGAGGTGATGGGGAGAAGATCGTGGGAGAAGCAGAGAAGTCATTCATTGCATGGCGCAAGCGCTACATCAATATTCCCGGGACGCCGTTGCCGCACAATAGGTATGGATGAAAGTGAACGAAACAATTTTTTTATTAATTTTATATTGCCTCTTAAATAGCAATTGACTCATTGTCTTCTGTACGCACACAGCAGGGCCTCCTCCAACCTAAGTCCAATAGTACAATCACCAGACCAGCATAGTGCTCCGGGCGGCGGTTACGATGGGGTAGAAGACACGGCTGCATCCCCACCATCTCCAAGATGGTCTCCACCGCCGCCGCCACCGCCTCCAAGGTGTTCCCCAACGCCACCTCGAAGGTCTCCAACGCCTATTCCCCCACCTCCTCCCATGAACCAGGGAAGACGGCTGCAAACAAATAAGCCATCTGCCCCGTCGGCGAAGATGACCAAGAAGGCCCCCGTGAAACCAAGGCCAATTCCATAGAAATTGCCTGGTGAAATGAGTAAAGAGGAGTTAGATGATGCGGTTAAAAAACCGTCGAAGCATTCTTCTTAGGCACAGGGAAGAGGAAGCAGCAGGAGCAGAAGCACTTCCACCTACCTCCAGCTAAACTAAGGCGGATGGTGGAAGCTGAGCAGAAAAAGAGGCGGCAAGCTCGTAAGCCCTCGCCACCATCAGACTTTGACCGCACTCTTAGCAAGATAATTAAGAAAGCTGCTAAAGCAGGGAAAACTGTTGCACAACTCGGAGAACAAGAATTGCAATCAGTCCCTCGTCTAATTATTGCTAATGAATATGGTTCAAATATAGATATGCTGGATATGATGGAAATACCTGCTGATAAAGAAGTGGATATGGCGGAACTTGCTAACTTTTATGCTATGAGAGGTATCGACCTTGGCGATTTCCTCTTCGAAAGTGCGCCGGTAGCGGATGAATGGCAGAAATATGAGCATGGCAGGAGTCTATGGAATCCTAAGACCATCAATGAACTGGGTACACAATTGTTCAAGCTAAACACCTTGTACCTCGATGCGTGTCACCGGAAAGAGTTCTATATTTCTGTCAGAATCAAAGACGACTATTGGTTCCGTGACGATGACGTTATGTACATTGAGTTAGCTGAATTACACCAACTAGTCCACTGGAACTCTCTCGACAAGACTCTCATCAGCTGCTATTGTCTGTAAGTGATTCTTTCTACTAATTAATAATAAGTCGCTACGTACGTACATGTCTGTGTTTATTATCCTCACTCTATATATATGATGCAGGTTTGAGATGGGAGAGTGCAAAAAGAGAGGGTGTACTGATATTGGTTTCATTGATCCACATATCGTATTCAAAAACCCGAGAAGCAACGTGACAAGAAATGTATACTCTTCCCCTACAACTTCAGGTAAGTGTTCATAATGTTGACGATCGTGTATCCATATATATATGTTCACTGTACCTGTTTGCTAATTAATGAGTGTTAATGGACATGGCAGTGAACACTGGATATTGATGGAACTCGATCTGGAGAAAGGTCTTCTAGGCATCTGGGACTCGATGAGAAAAGAGCAAAAAGAGTTCCAAGAGATGATAGATATTATTCAGAGGTAATTGCAGTCTCACTAGCAAAACTATTTCAGTCTCTCTGCATGCAAATTAATGGTCCAAATATTTTTTATGTTATTTGGTAGTTGTTGGGAAAAGGTCTGTCAGGAACACCATATGAAACGCAAAGTGCCACTGAAAGTAGTGCTATACAAAGTAAGTACTATATACCTACCTTAGTTCAATTTCCCTATGCTCGGATGATGACGAATCTTTTTCTCGTAAAGTGGGTTCTGCTGCAGCCCCAGGGGACCAATCTCTGTGGATACTATGTTTGCGAGTTCATGAGAGTGTGCTAAAAAAGAACTAGTCTAGAGGAAAAAAGGGTAAGTGTACATATATATATATATATTCTTCATACATATATTTATATATATATATATATATATATTCGTGATAGATACAATTTATTTATCATTATTCTTGATACATATATATATATATACTAATATACTTTTTCTTTATCTCATATCTCAAATTGAAGACTCGTTGGTTGAAGGAAAAAACCCTGGACACACACCATCTCAAAGCAATCCAAGAGACAATAGGTGGATTTCTGAATGATCAGGTCTTAACTCCCGGCGGCGAGTTTTACTATGACCCAAATATGTGATGATGAAAGCCAAATTTCATATTGATCCAAAGAACATGTGATGATGAAATGTACAATTAATGCAAACTTTACATGTGACGATGAAATGTAATATTATGTTTTAGTTTACTTTTACTTGTGTTTCTTGCATGCATTGATCGAGCGAAAACTTTACAGTACGCGCGCGTATACATATATTACTTTGCAGCGAATAATGCGTATTCGAAAACCAAATTAAAACAAAAAAGAATCATCAATTGAAATAAGCAGGAAAAGAAAAAAAAAGACCCTTTAGTCCCGGTTGGTAATACCAACCGGGAATAAAGGGGCCAGCCCAGGCGCTGACGTGGCTACCTTTTTAGTCCCGGTTGGTATCACCAACCGGGACTAAAAGTCCACTTCTATTCCCGGCTACTAACCCTTTATTCCCGAACTCCTATTCCCGGCTGCGTTGGCAGCCGGGAATAGAAGCCCTTTTTTTACTAGTGTATTTTATTTCTTAGTCTTACTAAATGAGCATTAATGCTACCTATGTACTGATTTGGGCTCTTGATCAATAAAAAAATGTTGGCTGATTTTGCATGAAAAATTCATAGTTTCTATGAAAGATTAAATTGATGAGAGTTGTGGTCCTGTGGAACATAGATTACGAACCAAAATGTTAATGTTTACATTTGGCTCCCTGTTATAGAGAACAATCTGCTACTGCTGTTTTTCTTTTCACTTATCCATTTGTTCAAGTTTTTAGGTAGGTCTTGTAGTGAACTAATGATTCATAGCTAATGTTTTTTTTCAATCCACATCAGAAATTAACAGGTGGCGTGATGCTTTCAAGGAACAATGAATTTATAGTCTTCTACAGAGGGAAGGATTTCTTGTCCTCAGAACTTGCAGAGGTGCTGCTAGAGAGGGAAAGATTAGCAAAGTCACTTCAAGATGAAGAGGAAGCACGGCGAAAGGCAGCGTCTTATTTTTCTTCAAGTGCTGAGACATATGTACAGCCTACTGTAGCTGGTACTCTAGGAGAGACTCTAGAGGCTAATTCTAAATATGGAACTAAACTTGATGAGAATCATGCGGACAAAATGACAAGAACTGTTGAAGCTGCAAGACATGCTGACCTCGTAAGAAAGCTAGAGTGGAAGCTCTCACTTGTAAGTGATTTGGTAACCAGAGTGTTACCATGCTTGTTGTTTGTTCTAAAAACTTTTGTTCTGCTTAATGAAATACGCGCTTTGGCGTGCTCTAAAAAAAGTGACCAAGTTTGAATAGTCTAAGTTCACTTCGTTAGATTCTATCTTATCTTCTGGAAACATTTTTTTTATATGTGCCTCATGATGTCCAAAATACGTCAAGAACTTATATTTTCCCCCAAAATATGGCAGAGTGCAGATGCATAATTTTAGTATGACAAGTAGTTTAGGGCATGTTCTTTTCTCTTCTTGTTGGTGTCTCTTGTTGGGTTTTCAATCTAGACCCCCAACTGGCTTGGGACTAAAAAGGCTTTGTTGTTGTTGTCATAAGTAATATAGGGTCATGTTGCATCTAAGCTTGTGTGGCTAAATTCTTGTATGCATTGTATCACTGGAAGATGTAAGTTATATGATTTGAATCAAACCAATTTCACTTTATTTATGTACAGGCACAGAAAAAGATGGAGAAAGCTGAAAGGGTACTAGGAAAGGTTGAGACAGCCCTGAGGCTAACTGAAGATTCCAGACCTGAAACAATAACAGATGAAGAGAGGTTCATGTTTCGGAAACTTGGTCTAAGGATGAACGCATTTCTGCTCCTCGGTAATTCTCTGTCTTTTTCTTTTTTGTGTTGGACTTTTGCACAGTTACTGGGAAACAGTCACTGGACACATGTCCTATTACATTTTTAGTCTGTTGCTACCTCAGATTGCCTCTCTTCAACCTTCATTTTTTTATTTTTAGTTGCTGATGAACAAAGATACTGAGTTGCATAGATGTTGCACGCATTGAGGTATGCACGTTTTATGAAGATGTAGGTCAAATATAAAACAATTGTAGCACCTAATAAAATGTAGACTTCTCGGTTCCTAAAATAGCAGTTAGAAACGAATGGAGGGAGTAATCTATATTACCATTCTCAGGGTCATTGGAATATTGGATTCTTCTGATTTTGTAGTGATTGGTTGACAAACAATTTGCATTCCTTTTTTTTTTTTTGAAGCATTACTGCACCTCTTTGTTTTAATAACCTGACCAATTATATTACTGACATGAGATCTACTGTCTTTCTTTCTTCATTCTTATTAATTCTTCTGACCACTTGCAGGCAGAAGAGGAGTTTTTGACGGCACAATTGAGAACATGCACTTGCACTGGAAATACAGGGAGCTGGTGAAGATACTAGTGAAAGCGAAGTCTTTTGTAGACGTGAAGAGGATAGCACTATCACTTGAAGCCGAGAGCGGGGGAATTCTAGTTTCAGTTGACAAAGTCTCCAAAGGCTACGCCATTGTTGTGTTCCGAGGGAAGAACTACCGGCGCCCTTCTTCGCTCAGACCTAGAAATCTCTTGTCAAAGCGGAAGGCTTTGGCCAGATCCATCGAGCTTCAGAGACATCAGGTATACTGTTTCGATTTTGTGGTGGTTTACTCAAAGTTAAGCTTGCATATGTGGGTGTTCCAAAACAAGGGAACAGATTATGCTTACAGCACCATATCCCGTGTTCTGTTTTAATCATGGTCATCTATCTGGCATACATTTTTTTTTCTAATGATAAAAACCTTCACTCATCATCTTTTTTCCCCTTCACTTACACCGTTCTTGCAATTTAATTTTGTGATAGGCCCTGAGTCGTCATTTTGCAAAGCTAAACAGAAAGGTGGAGCAGCTCAAAGCGGAATTGGTGCGCAGAGTAGCCAACCAATTTTTCTCTTGAATGAAATGTTATTATGTCATACATATATAAAAATATAATATACTTACATGATGCCATTACTGTATACATTGATTAATTTTCAGGTCCAGATGGAAGGCGTGAAGGAGGAGCTGTACGCCAAACTGGATGCCGCGTATTCGAGGGACGAGGAAGACATGGAGGTGAGTGCGACGAGCTTTTACCGCCACGCATGCCGACTGAGCTCGTCTCATGTCAGTACCCCGTTGAGATCCTGGTAAACGTTCACGATTTTGCTGTGTAGGATGAGGACGATGAGGCCTACCTTAAGCGCTTCGACAATGAGGTCGCCGGTGCTACCGCCGAGGATGGCAGCGAGTCCGTGGACGACGAGGCCGATTACCCTGACTCAGACGATGAAGTTGGTGATTACTCCGACGAAGATGACGACGAGGCTTTCGGCTATGACGACGACGATGAGGCGGCTACCGCCGCTGACTTTCGCGCCGGCGAAGTAGGTTTCAGTTCTTCTGACAGAGGAAACCACGGGTTAGACGAAGGTGCTGGCTCGTGTGGGGAACGGGATGGCAAATGTAACGAGGCAAGTGACAGTGGGCAGCACTCGCACACCGAGCAGCCACCTGAGCTGGCGAGCTCCCGTACTGGCAGTGCTAGCTAGACGGCTCTGTACAGCCGCACAGCTCAGCACGTAAATGAGTCCTAGTACAACCGTTCGTTTGATATGTATCGCCGTCAGCCCGTGACGGGGTTCGTCAGGCTTCGATGGCTGGCACTGGCAGGCGCGTGTATACGGCTCGTATCCACGTGGAAGGTCCTGGTTGGCTCTTGTTTGACGCTGCTTGGCGTTGCTGCCGCGCAGCGGATGCGGCCGTGCGGCGCGGGCGGATGCTGCTGTGCTGGGCCGCATCGCAGAGCGCCTGACGCGGCGAATCCTGCGGCTGACGCCCTCGTATTGCGGACTTGCGGTCTCCGGCCCAACGCGTCAGGCCAGGACTAGGAAGCACGGAAAGGACGGATAAATGACAAATCCACCGTGTTCGCACATTGCTCGATTCTGGATCCTATGCTTGAAAGTGCAAAGGTATCCGTTCCATACGCAATCTTCCGGGTTTACGGCTGGATTAAAGCGATTCAAGTACTTACATTGTTTGGAATTGCTAGCGCCCGGACTCCGGAGGGACGCCCGACCAACAGCACGCGAGGGGTCCCTCGTGCCTCCTCCTCTTCCCACGCGCATGTAGTCGGGGACCGTCTGCGCCCGCTCAGTGGTGCCCCAGCAGCTCCAACAGGCGGCTGCGGCGGGTGGTCCCATCGCAACATGTTCAACACTAGATTTATTTTTGCAACATCCAGATAAAACACTTGCAGCATATGCCTGAAACACTTGCAAAAACACTTAAAAACACATTAAAGACATTGCAAACACATACAACATCCACATCTACTTTTGCAACATCCAGATAAAACACTTGCAACATACGTATGAAACGCATGAAACACTCAAAACATACACTTGCAACATGCATGCTATGCAACATCCCGATATACTTCTACAACATCCAGATGAAACACTTGAAATATACGTTTGAAACACATGAAACACTTGAAACATATGATTGCAACATGCTTATATGCCATTGCAACATACGCACATAACACTTGAAAACATACTTCTGGAACACCTGAAACACGGCACCGCCGGCGGCCACGACCTACTTGGATAACTGCGGTAGCCAGCAAGCGGCGCTCGAATGCCGTGGAGAAGGCGGCTAGGCGCGGTGAAGAACGCCACGCGGGAGCAGTGGTCGTGGACCACGCCGCATCGCGCGCGGAGAACTCGGCGACGAGTGGTAATTGGCGGTGGGGAGATAGGAAGGCAGCGGGTGGCGCCCTAGCGTGGTGTAGCACGCCGCCGCGTTGCGGCAGCACGGTTGCTGTGGAGAACGCCGCAGCGACGATTCAAGTGTGGGTTCGAGAATGGATGCGGGTGCAGCGATGATCCGAGAGGAAAGTGCAAGTGGAGATTTTTTTCGAGCAGATGGATGCGTCCGTGCAGATGGCAGTGTTGGGCCGTTCGGACGGGCGTCAAGGCCCACCAACGCAAAAGCGGCTAGACGAAACGGTCGTCCTACCCAAAGCATTTCGGAAAAACATAATAATACTCGCCCCGGGCTACCGATCCGTGGCAATAGAGGCTATAGTAAGCTTGTCAAAATCACAATCATATAAGATTCAATAAATATAAAAAACATAAACACGTAGACTATTTACTAAAACCGCGTAGACTCAGACTTCTTAGTACAGATCTTAAAAGGACGTAAAAGTAGATTTTAACAACCACGGTCTGGAGGCAATGAGTGTGGTCTGCTGCCGCCATTCCGCCAACGACAATGAAGCACGGCGTAGCTGGCCCAAAACTTTAACTTTATTTTCGCGTTTGATGTACTTTTTATATCAATAATTAATCATGGATTTTTGATTTGTTATAAATGTAAACGTGCCGTAATAAAATGATAACCAAGCAAAAATAAAGTTGAGAGGGTTATAATATAATAGAGCTCTTGAAACCTACAAGAAGCCAACGAATCGGATTGTCAAATACCTATGAGCGTTTCCATTATCAGCTTTCCACAATGTAAGACCCTGTTTGATAGAGCCATAGCAAGAGTTATCTTTTTCTTCTTAAAAAACGAATTATGAGTTTTTTGTTTGTATTATTTCTGTCTAAACTCATATTTGCCTCAATTCATAATTTAGTTCCACTCTAATCCACTCTAAGCCTAAGTTATTACTCCCTCTGTCAAAAAATAATTGCAATTCTCGTACTTCGAGAAGTCAAATGATTTAAACTTTGACCAAAATTATGTATATAAAAGTTCTACTTCCTTCGTCGCAAATTATAAAACGTTTTGATATTTTTAGATTCATAGGAAGTCAAAACGTCTTATAATTTGGAATATAGAGTAACATTTAGGGTACAAAATAAATACTGTTAAATTAATTATAGAATATATTTTTATGATAAATTTGTTTAAAAGCATAAATGATAATACTATTTACTATAAAGTAGGTCAAACTTGAACTAATTTGGCTGACATGAATCGTATAATTATATATATTTTTTGATGCATCGGAAAGAGTACACTATACACCTGACCTGTTTTAGCAAAATTTTGTGGAATGTTTGGCATCAACCTACCATGTCCTTATTTTGGACCCGCTTTTTAGGACTCAGGACACCTCGCTGGACACACGTGACTTTGGTCAGGTCAGGTACGAACCAAAGGGAAAGCAGCATCACCGAGCACTGTACTTTGTGCTAGAAGAAACGCAGGATAATCCACTGTCCGTATCCATAAGATGTGCACTTATGGCATGTTTGGTTCCAAGCTCCTAAAACTTTAGCAACTAAAAAAATTTTAAGCAGCCTTTTAAAACCTTCTAAAAGAGTGTTTGGTTCTACCTTCTAAAATTGACTAAAGACAATAAATACAGTGGCAAAAGGACCATGATGCCCTCCCCAGTTACCCTTGGCGCTACTCTCTTTCTCCCTCAGCTCCGCACGCCACTCTTTCTCCTTCCAGTCTCCTCCCCACTCCTCAAATGCCGCAGCCACGCCTCACACACGTTCCGCCGCCACCGCCGCTTCTTCCGGCAACGTTGCCGTCGATCCTCCGCCACCGTCGCCAGATCCACACCCGCGCTACCCGGATCCGCCTCCCCCTCACTCCCCCTGACCTCTTGCTTCTTCGCTCAAGCCTCCCCCTCACCGGCTCCATGAGGGATGGCGGCCGCCGCCGCCGGCGTCGGTCCCGCCGCGGGGAGGGTCACCGGCACTGCAGGACGCGGCGCGGCAGGGCGGACGGGTGCCTCCGCCCTCCCTACGCCTAAACGGCGGCAGCTACGGGTGCCCGCCACCGGCGCCTCGGCCTGCGTCCCTGCCGGCGGAAGGACGGGGTGGTGGGGCACGCGAATGCGGTGAACGGAGTGGCGGGGCGGCCGCGCGGAGGTGGACGACATGGTGGTGGGCCGCGCGAAGGCAGTAGAGGAAGGGGTGGATGGGTGGCCACCTGAAAAGGTCCTCGCCGGCGGACATTGCCGCGCCGCGGCGGTGGAGATTGGAGCGGAGCCGGTGCCGAACGCTGTGCTTGCCTTCCTCACCGGCCCGACGCTCGGCCTCTCCAAGGCGGACATCGTGGCGCCTACGCCGAGGAGGAGCGGGGGCGCCGCGGCCGGCCTGTGTGACGGCGCGAGGGAGCGGGGGCGGCGGATCCAGCGGCGTGAGGGAGTGGGGGCGGCGGATCCGGCGGGCGTCGGCGTGGAGGTGGGAGGGAGCGGGGGCGGCGGCGTTCGGGACGTGGGGGAGCGTGCGGTCGGGACGGGTACCCCAGGTCCAGGGCGGACTTTAAAAGCTTTTAGGAGGGAGTGGAGCTCCTAAAGTTTTTGACTCCTCGTAAAGTTTTTAGGAGCTTTTAGGAGGAGTTGTCTGATTCTTTAAACAAATTTTATCTAAATTTTAGCTTCTAAAGTTTTTAGGAGGGGTAACCTCACACGGCTTTAATCAACCGGTTGAAGTTGAAGGCACAGAATATACGTACTTTACCTGACCCCGGATGTGATGCAAGCAAAGGACAAGAGACGAGCCATGAGCCCACTGAATCCAAGCGAAGTTGGCATGCACGTGACCATCCTATAGTTGAGTACGTGTTGACTACCGAGCCCGCCGGTGAGTAGAACTGTAGGAACGCACATGGCTTGTTGGATCGAGGCGACACTGAGTTGAGTGCAGCTGTATCGATCATGTTTTCGTGCGTGGCACTACGTTACATACACTCCATGTGGTCCTGAAGTCACGAAGAAGGAAGGGGCTCTCAAACGTTGCGATATTTAACTTTTTATCATTATAATGATACCACCTATTTATATCACTTTTAAAATTACTCCTACATATTTACCATCGAGAGAGAAGAATTCATAACTTTAAGCCATTTTTGCATACGTGGTAGAACACGTAGTGAAGCTAGCGTGTCTGTGGGATGCGAAATGAGACTTTGTTACCCCTCATCAATTTCTTCTTCGTCTGTCTCATCCTCATCGCTTGGTAAAGATGCATCTCGCCCTACGTCTCTCAGCTTCGCCTCCTCCTCCCTCCCGGGCGCGAGCAGCAGCAGATGGAGCCGGCGAGCGCGAGGTCTGCGCACACCCCAGCTAGCAGCGCTGCTCTGATGGCGAACGCAGGCACGAGATCCACCGCATGTGGGCTCTACTGCGCGTGCGTCCCCATCCCCGGCGTGCCTCCCCCATGGTCGGCCGCGCGAGGTTCAGCTCCTCCCCTTTCGGTCGCTGCTCCCCCATCCCCGGCGACGCGCTGAAAGGTCCTAATATGGCTAGAGGAGGGGTGAATAGCCTATTTAAAAATCTACAAATTAACTAGAGCAATTTGATTAGTATGACAAATAGCGGAATGCAAACTTGCTCTAGCTCTACAAGGGTTGCAAGCCACCTATCCAACAATTTTAGTTGCAGTGATCAATACAGACACAACTTGCTATGATAATACTCACTAAGAGCCCTCAATCTTGCTACACTAAAGAGCCCCACTAGATAAACTTGAATAGCAAAGCAAGCTCTCAATTCTAATTACACTAAAGAGCTTGC